GTCATCTCAGAGCTCAAAAGTTTGTATTGGACTTAGCATCAAAGCCCTTGTACACTGTCCTATGCTTCCTTTGCTTGACTCCATCCTGACCACTGTGTCCAGCATGGGTGCAGAGCAGATGATCTGAAAGGCACCATTGTTTCTTGGATGACTTCCCAGTTTCACAGGAAAAAGTGACTTTCTGGACTGTGTACCACCCCAGCATCACTTAGGCAGAGGCTGGGATGAGGTATTTTGAGCAAAGGAGAACTTGTGTCTTGGGTTTGTGGGAGACAAGAGGACCAAGGGTGGGTCCAGGTTGAGGTGGGAGCTAGTTGATGACTGTGGTGCATGAATGAGAAGCAGATGAGGGTCAATGAAGACCTGGGCCCTGTCTTCTTGTCTTCTGCACTTGACCTCATTGAGGAGGAGAAGCTTCTGGGTAGGAAGATGATAAATTGGGCCAACTTTGCTCCAAATGGGTGCCTACATGTTCCCCTACTATTGCAGAATTTCCAAGAACCTGGAGACACTAGGAGGGATTTTTCAGGTGGATTTTAATGGTACACCATCCCAGCCAGTAGAAATGCTCACAAGTACGCTGGGCCCAAACCAATTGAGATCCCCATTTAATACAATTTGTGACATCAAACAAGTAGAGACATAGAAGTGAAAGAAAGGCAGTTAGTCATTCTAGCTGCTAACCATACTTTGGCCTCTAAGGAAAATCCATCCTGTGCATCTGAGGATGTTAGGATCTGCATAGCTTGTTTATAACCCCATTTATTAATTTTATCAGTGTTCATAACAAGTATTGCCCCTCTCATGGAGGAGATTTCTAGGAGAGATGTGCGATGGGAGAAAGAGGCTCAATTTGTCTCTGAGTTTTGCTTTACTCCCAGAAGCCATGATGGGGATGTCACCATCTGCCATGCCCGTACCAGCTGGACCCAAAGTTCTGAAGCTTTCTCAAAGCTGACATTGTCAGTTACTGAGTCCATGATGACATATGCATCCCCCATGGCCATGCAGTGGCCAGGCAACCATTGGCTTTCCTCCTGGAGAGCACGACAAATGCGCACACCTACTCAACAGGCCTTGTGCTCCTGCCATGAGCCTGTCACTCCTGGCAGGACCCACCCCCACCCCAGCTCTCTCCTCCTCCTCCTTCCCTGGATCCCCACTGCATCCTACCTGCTCCCAAATGTCATAGATTATGAGTGATGCTTCTTCTCCATCCACCATGATGGAGCGATCACACATGTGTCCTAGGCAAGAGGCCAACAAACAGGTTACTGGTTGGCTGTCAAAAGCCTCCATTGCTCTTTTCCCATTCAAGCCACACCCCTCCCCATCCTTCCCAGAGCCTAATGGACCCTTCCACTTGCACATGGCTACTGTGGGCAGCAGAAGAGACAGTGCTGGGGGCTGGGAATGCAGGGCATGGTTTGCCTGACCTTCCCACGGGTCCCCAAGATAGCAGTGTCCTAGGGTCCACTCCAGTGCTCCCTGCCTCCCTGCTGCCTGCCCCAAGGTGACTCTGATCAAAGTGTCCTCAGTTAGAACAGTGATTGCCACATCCTTTGGGAGGCTTAGCTACCTAGGGCTCCAGTCTAGACACTCGCTCTGATGTGTTTCTGCCAATCCCAGCAGACAGGGACGTCCAACCCCAATGCTATAGAGCAGTCACAGTCAAGCCTCGGGTCCTCTGGGCACGTGGGGTGTAGGGGTGGTGTCCCGTTTCCTTTAGTTTCCCCACCTTCAAATGGGAGGGCAGAGGCATGATTCTGAAAGTGCATTTGGAATACCGTGGTGTTGCCCATTTAATCCAGCTCCTATCCTCACCACACTCCTTTCCTTCCTTGCTAATAATCCTGAGATTTTTCCCTGCCTTGAACAGCCTGTCCTCTTACCTGCAGCCTCTGCTTTAGGGCCATCCCCTACACCACCAAAGATGCAAGCCAGGGCTCTCTTGCCCACGCCAGAGGCCCCAGCAGCAGCACTTTGCATATGCTCTCCTGGGAGCTGCTGCCTTCGGAGTCCAAGGAGCCTTCTGACCGTGCAGCCTGGCACCCTGGGTTGCGGTGCTGAAGCCAGCCATGCCCGAGCTCTGGTGCCTTGAGTCAGCATGCCTGCAGGTCACGCTCCTGCACTGGCATGCAGTGGTGGGTTATTGTGGGCGCCAGACCCCAAGGGGTGCTGCCCTGAGGGCACTGGCACTCCCTATCTGCTCTGTAGCTCATGCCTGTGCCCTGGCTGGCACTGCCGTTCAGGGTCATCATGTCGGATCTGCCCTCTGAGGAACCAGAGACCCAGAAGACAGCATAAGCCACAGGGAGGAAGGACCGGGCCTGAAACCTACTCTCAGCCACAGGGTCTTTGCACCCTAATCTCTGCTCCGTGTGGGGCTGGCCCATTCATCCACGGAGGGTGTGGTCCACCCCTCTCCATCTGTACACTCATGCACTCACAAACAGGCACCTTCAGGACTAGGACCTGGACTCATATAGCCCACGGAGGGCTCAGATACAATCTACTCACAGTCCGGGTTCAGACAGTTGGACCCTCGCTGCTACTGGGCAAAGAAAAAAGACTTAGTGACTTCAGTTTTGAGAAGAGGGGTTCCTCGTAGCTCAAAAGGACTCAGAAGACAAGAGATACCTTTGGGGATATCAAAGACAGGCAACACAAGGGACGGTGGCCGTGCTCCACCTTCTGGCTCCTGGCTGCCTGGACCTCTGTCTACCTCATGTGTGTTCTTCAACATGCACCTTGCCCTGCCCACTCCATGCCCCGCCTATTCCATGCCAGGTTCAAACTCCACCCAGAACCAGTCCATGCTTCTGTTTTCGGTTGGTGAAACAGCTCGCTCCATTGCAGAACAGAAACTGGCTTGCAATCAGACATGCAGCTGGACAAGTTTCTTGCCCGGTTGAAGTCTGTGGCTTGTGGGCTCCTGCTTCTCTTCATCTGTGGCCAGGGTGAGATTCCTGAGGGGGTGATAAGGACCGGGGTCTCATCTGCAAACTGCAGAGGTAGAGCCTGAGACTATGGAAGCGAAGTTCCAGGGAGGGAGTGCTGTTGGAAATGACAGACTATACTGTGGGAATCCTGGGCCCACTGAGCATCCCCAAACTGGCAAGTCCCCAAGGTGAGCCTTGGGAGAAAAGAAAGGGTTAGAGTTAAGGACACCCAACACTTCAGAGGGAAGCCAGTGTGAGGGCTATGAGCAGTACTGGAAAGGTAGGTGAGAAGCCTGTTGGGAGGGAGTTGGAATTCTGGGCATTTCAGCCCTGTGTGTGTAGCTGTGGCTATGGCTGATTCTGGCCCTCAGGTGTAACAACAATGACAGTAATAGCCTCCTGAAGCCACTGGGTCGTAATTATGTACCACCTTTGCCAGAGAGGTACCCTAGAATTCTCTGAAGGTGCCTCAGGCAAATTTACTGTCTCTGAAAAATGCAGAAGCCCCTGGGCACCACATCCCAAAGCTGAGCTGAGTTCTGGGTTCCCTTCACTCCATGTCCTAACCTAGGGCAAAAGCATGGCTTGGCTTCCAGGGCAAAGGTGATGTGCTCTGTGCCTGCTAGATAGTCTCCAGGCTCTTATCAGGAGGTGATACCACTGTGGCTACATGTGCAGGGTGGGTCTGCAGCCTTTGACCCTCTCACTCAAAGCCTCCTAGCCTGGGACCTGGCCATCTGCCCTCACCCTCCACCAATCCTGTCTGCCCAGGAGGCGCCACCACTCACCTCACCTCCAGAGCACACCCTGCTAGATTCCTCTTTTATGCGCTAATGACCAGCTCTTGGTGGGCACCACGACTTCTCGGCAGGAAGACTGGCTGAGTATCTTTGATCCATCCTCTTTAAACATTCTTTAGGTTTGGATTTGTGTTCAGTATCATTGAGGAGCCATAAATGGGTACAGAGTTGGGGTCCACCTCACTTTCACCAATTCAGTCCTACTGTTTCCTCCAAAGAGAACATCAAGGTTCTGACATGCGGTTCCCAGGTCTCTGCCTAAGAATGGATGTGTGCACCCAGTCTCCCAACAGGGCCATTGCAGTAGGTTTTGTTCTGTGTTGTAACGATCATCAGATATCAGTGTCTGGTGGCCACGGTGAATTAAATGGAGAGAGATCTGGTCTGGAGAGGTATTTGTAAGTGGCACTACCAGGGAGAGAAGTGTACCTTTGGACTTGGAAAAATGTTGCTAAACTGTCCTGTGTGTGAGTGGCTGCTGCCCTGTCTTTAGCTGTTCCATGTGTCTTCAGACATGCTGCTACATGTGGACCTGATGGGGGTTGGAAGTATTAGATCTCCAGAATACTTTGGGATGTTTAACTTTTTCTTATGGGGTGTAGCCCATAGGAAGAATCTGAGACAGCAGGAGGGAGCTGTCTTCTGGTGGAGATAGCAGCTGCAGGGGGTCATGCATGGAAACCTCCCTGCATGCCTGCGACCTCCCTGCACCATGAAGCCCAGAGAGGATCAGGGATGATTGAATGGTGCAGAACATTGAATGGGCCTCCTGTAAGGTAGAGAGAAGAGCTAATGAACACCACATGCCCATCTTCCATTTTCAACAATAATGGGTATTTGGACATCCTAGTTTTATTTGTACCATTTGGTGATAATCAATTGCTTTCTCCCATCCAGACTCAAGCAGAGGCAGGATGGACCTTTAACTTGCTCACAGCTGAATCTCTTTCTCTCAGCTCTCCTCACCATATCCCTTTTTGTATGAAGGTGTGGACAGCTGCCTTCTTTATGTCATGCCACATGAAGCAAGAGATCTGTGAAGATGGGAAACTTTTTAATTGATTCCTACAATCCTCCCAGTACGACACAGGACCTGGGAAAGTTAGTTTAGAGGAAACTGTCCCCATTAAGTGCATGAGAACCGCTACTGGAAGGTCCAGAGTGAATGAGGGCATGATAGTCTTAGATTCTGTTGGATAAATCAGGGTAGGGCCCAGTGATGGCAGTGGTGTTACGGGAGGAGAGTATAACAGGGAGGACATGTCTGAAGCAAAGGTTTTGCAGATCAGAATCCCTGACAAGGCTGAGTTGAAGGTGGCAAGAGGTGGCAATAACCACAGTGTATGAGGCAGCTAACTGGTTAGTTCCAACCCTGATGTTGATCTCTGTGTCCACAGCCCAGGACTCTGCCAGCCCCATCCGGACCACAAACACAGGGCAGGTGCGGGGCAGCCTTGTCCACGTGGAGGGCACCGATGCGAGGGTCCACACCTTCCTGGGAATACCCTTCGCCAAGCCACCTCTAGGACCTTTGCGGTTTGCACCCCCTGAAGCCCCTGAGCCCTGGAGCGGTGTGAGGGATGCAACCTCCCACCCTGCTATGTAAGCTCTCTGGGGAACTGGGGAAAATCAGGCCCGCGGGAGGGAATGGGTACCCTAACCCCAGGGCAGGCTGAAGTGGTTCTGCCCCATAAATTCTACAGCCAATTTTCCTCTGCACTGAGGGGAAGAAATTCCCGTTATGAGCATGCTAGGATCCAGAGGGTACAGGAACTATGTTAGTCTCAGCTCAGGGCTTGGGAGCCTAAAGGAATTAGCTCTAGGTGCTGAAGAGAGAGGCAAAGACACATTTCTTTCTAGCTTTGAGTTATGCTAAGTATTCTATGATATTGAGGAGGTCTCTGGAAGAGATTCAGGTTAATCTGTGAATCCTATAAGAACCTCTGACCCAGAAGCAGATACAACTGATCTCTCAGGAGTGCTAACCTTCTGCAGACTCCACACTCTATAGTCACTTTGCCAACTGATAGGGTGAAGTGAGGAGCCACCATCAGGTTTTGAACACAACAGACCTTGGAATAACTGCCTGTCATTGTCACTAGGTGTCTGCAAGATGATCACTTTAGTTCAGAGGGTCTGAGGCCGTTTAATATGACCATGCCTTCTATCCTGATACCTATGTCTGAAGATTGCCTGTATCTCAACATCTACACACCTGAACATGTCTATGAGGGATCTAGCCTGCCTGTGAGTATTAAACCATGGTCAGCTTGGGTATGGAGGACATTCCTTCTCCAAGATTAGAAGGTGGCTAAAGATGTGGCTTAGTGATAGACATTTGCCTATCATGCACAAAGTTCTAGGTTCAAAGCCAAGCACCACAAAATAAAACAAAACTGAAGGAAATAAGAATGGACATGATTGCCTGGTTCTCTTGCAGTGTAGACCCTGCTGTGAAGCCTTCTGCTATGGAGACCAAGAAGGGCTTCTCAGCCAGGTTGGGTAACTGACCCCTAGCATTAATTCACAGAACCCTAACTAGTTCCAGAGATCAGAGGTTTTCCTGCCCAAGAGTTCTATTTTGAAATGACTCAAGAGCCCAGCTGCAATTTATCTTTTAGGCCAATGAAGTAACATTTTTACTAGTATTTAGGCAGGACAGTATCAGAAACCCCCTCGTTTCAATTGTCATGGGGTCTGAGAGTAATAGATCCAGGTTTGGATTCATGTGGTTGACCCAAATGTAAGAAAGTCCTCTTCTTCCTGATTGAACCTGGGTCTGTGACCCATCCCTCAGGTATGCAGTCTTTATGGAGTCCTCTGTGGTAGTTGCCTAGAGCCTAATCCATGGATAGTGTATGAGGAAGCCAGGTAGTGTTTGGGCTGGGCAGAAGTCACACAGCATCTGTCCGTACTTCCCCAGGTGATGGTATGGATCCATGGTGGTGCGCTGGTTGTAGGCATGGCTTCCCTGTATGATGGATCCATTCTGGCAGCTTCTGAGAACGTGGTGGTGGTCATCATCCAGTACCGCCTAGGTGTCCTGGGCTTCTTCAGGTGAGCCTGGGGCTGTGCTGGGAAATAAGGCTGAGCAGAGCCAGAACAGGCCTGTGATCACTGTCCCTACCACTTCTCAGCACTGGAGACCAACATGCCACTGGCAACTGGGGCTACCTGGACCAAGTGGCTGCCCTGCACTGGGTACAGCAGAATATTGCTCACTTTGGAGGCAACCCTGACCGTGTCACCATATTTGGCGAGTCAGCAGGTGGCACAAGTGTGTCCTCACATGTCTTGTCTCCCATGTCCCAAGGACTCTTCCATGGTGCCATCATGGAGAGTGGGGTAGCCCTACTGCCTGATCTCATCTCCAGCTCACATGAGGCCATCTCCACAGTGAGTACCCTTGACCAACCTTGCCCAGGACCCCTCTTTCTTCCCTCACCTTCAGAGCCTCTGGTGCACTGTCATTCAGTGGGAACAACAAAGGCAACTGAGGTGTCTTGGGAACTGCTCCTTTCTGGGAATTGCTAAAATCCTCAAGGGTGAGAATCTACATACCTCTGCCTCTAAAAACCTGAGTATGATCTGTGGTCAGCAAAGATAACTCATGGGGTACTCATTGTGGAACCATGGGAATAAATGTGATGGTCCCTTTGGCTGAGACTTCCAATCAGCAGGGAAGATAGAAGAATTTGTTACTGGCAGCAATTCTTACTGGGTGTCTGTGACATTGGGGTTTGCCTGTATTTGACTGAGTCCTCTTCCTGCCTGGAAGGATGATCCAGGCCCTGCCTGAACTAATTTCAGGTGGTGGCCAACATGTCTGGATGTGGGAATATTGACTCAGAGGCCATGGTGAGATGCCTCCGTGGCAAGAGTGAAGAGGAGATTGTGGCTATTACGAAGGTTGGCTGTTCTCAGATGTGTATGAAGGGGGTGATATTGTCTGAGGGTGTGAGTCCCTTTTATCTGTTCAAATAACCACATGTGCATGGGTTGCTGTCCATGCAGACCTGGATGGGAAATGTGCACAGAGATGTGCTAAGTGAAGTGTGGGAATCCTGGGTGTGGATGTGAGCATCCTGGAGTGAGTTAAGAGGGGCTGGAAGCAAGTCACTGGGCATTAGAAAATATCTGAGACCTGACCATCATCCCTGACTTGAATGCCCCATTAGTCCTTGAAAATCATCCCTGCTGTAGTGGATGGGGCCTTCCTGCCTAGGCACCCCCAGGAGCTGCTGGCCTCTGCTGACTTTCAACCTGTCCCCAGCATCATTGGTGTCAATAATAATGAGTATGGCTGGATCATCCCCATGGTAAGGTGGACTCCCAAGCCCTCAGTAGTTTTGGGTGTGCATTTGGTTTGTAGTGGTCCTCTGGGTTTCACAGGTGCATATTGATCTCACTCTCAGCTCTATACTGTCCCTCCACTATCCAGATATTTGGCTCTGCTGACAATCAGAAGAAAATGAACAGAGAGACTCTGCGGGGTGTTCTGCAAAGCATGGCAGCACAGTTGGTGAGGGTCCTAAATTTCTGTTATGGTTTATGTCTGGATGTCTCCCCATAGCCTCATGCAGTCATAGGGTGAGCTTCTAGAGTTTATGATTAATCCATGGTCCAATGCTGGGATTATGGGGTGATTGGTATACTTCCCCTGGGGTGAGGAACTTGCATACAATAAAAGGGAGGGAGAGAGGTTTGCTCTTCCTATTGCCGCTCCTCCCTTTTTTGCTCTTGCTGCTTTTACTGTCTTCTGCTGCTATGAACTGTTGCCCTCACCATGTGCTGCTCTGCCTTGGAGCCAGCCAAGTATGGACTGACGCCTCCACAAACTGTGAGCTCATAAAACTTTCCTCTTTAATGTGAGTTGTGCATTTTGTCTCAGCAATGACAGAAAAGTAACCAAGATAGAATTTGGTACCAGAAAAGAGGGGTCTTGCTATGAGTATACCTGACCACGTGGTTCAAGAGCCTTTGGAAATGGCTTATGGGAAGTGTTTGGAAAGGATCTGAGATTTCACCTGAAAGAGAAGCGCTAGAACACTTTTGGCTGTTCTGTATAGGAGATTCTGGTCAGAGCTCAGAAGTCCAGAAGGCTGATAGAAATCCTGTTGGTAAAGACCAGGGTTGAGAGGTTTCTGTTGGGAAGAAGGACTGCATTGGTTGTTGGACTCTAACGATGTGTGTTATGACTTGGCAAAAAATTTGTCTGCATTTTGCTTGTGTCCAGAGACTTTGCCTGAAAGTGAGATTAAGGGCAGTGAACTAATTAGTCTGGCACAAGAAATTTCAAGGCAGTTGAATGTTGAGGTGCTGGCATGGCTAATGTTGGGGGCTTTTAGCCAGACTTATTTTGAGAATCAGGAGCAAAGAGTCCAGCAGAATGATTTAAAATGTTGTGAGCTTGGCTGGAAAGGAAGTTCCAATGAAGCTGTGGACTGCAAAGATAGAGCAGAGGAGATCTCCATTGCTTAGAAGGAACAAGAGTATCAAAAACATGGCCTGAGGGTATCAAAAGAAGCAGCAAATCTCCACCCTTTGCAGCCTCAAAACTGCAAAGGTGAAAGACTTTACTCTGAGAAGAAAGCTGCAGAGTGCCATGTTTCAGTTGGCCACAGCAGCTGCACTAGTTTCCAGACTTGTGGAGGCATACAGTATTTCTCCCTCAGAATCAGGTCAGAGTGCTCAGTGATCCAGGAACTCGAACCCTATGGACTAGAGAGTTCCTATCCCAAGGATATGGCACCACCAGATTCATGCCCATGCAGCTAACTCATCCGAAAGAAGCTGAACTATGTATGTGGTTGTGGGTGGGGTCACCCCAAGTTTTTCCCATTTCTTACAATCCCAAGTCCATCAGCTGTTTTCCCACCACAAGCTCCCTCCCATACCCAGAAACCTATCTAACCTGATTCTCCATGATCTACCTGACCTAGATGTTGCCTGCTGAGTTTGATGACCTGTTGATGGAAGAGTACATGGGAGACAATGAGGACCCGCAGGTCCTCCAACTCCAGTTCCATGAGATAATGGCAGACTCTATGTTCGTGATTCCTGCCCTCAAAGTAGCACATTTTCATCGTGAGTACATCAGGAACTGAGATCTCACTGCCTATGCAATAGTTCAGAACTATGAGATGAAGTGAGGTGTGTAGAGTCCAGGTCTGTTCCCATATTTTATTGAGCCTCTGGTGCCAAACGCTTCATGTCTGTCATCTCAGTAAATCTATGTGTTTAAACCTTAAACAAAAACAGTAACTC